ATACTGGGTTTTGCACTCTAGGGCCAAGAAGAATCTGTTTTTCCATGACAATTCTTCAAATGCTTGAGGACTTATTTTATATTGTTCTGCTTCCTGAAATGATTGCCTCAAGTAGCTTCTTTTTTGAATCACTCATCCGTCAATTGGGATCGTTGAGTCTTTCCTTAGTGTATGTGTACGTCATTTATCTTTGCTTTTGCTGCTTTCATTAGAATTTCAAAAACTGTTCTATAGTACCAGAAGAAAGGTATGATTGCTTTACCCCAGTTTGTTGGGAAGCCTTCTAACGTGTGCTCCCTGCATATAACGCCAGCTTTTTATGATATTATAAAAAGGTCCTGTGTCTATGCTTTGTAGGATATTTAGCATGTTACACTTCGTCAAAGCTTTTTTTTTTCTTTATCTATTGATATAACTATGCAGTTTTGCACATTTTTGTTTTCAATATGGTGTTTTCCTAATGTTGAACTATACTTGCATCCCTAGCACAAACACTCTTAATAAGGGAAAATCCGATTCCGTTGGTATACACATAGAAACCTTGGGACCATTACATGGCCCTGGCTACATTCTCTCCTGGTCAGTTCACATCTGCAGGATTGTGTTCAGTTCTATGCACTGTGCTTTAGTACTTTGTTAATGTGGAAAGACTCCAGGGGTGGGCAACCAGGATACTGAGGGGTCTTGAGTCCATGCCATGTGAGGGTCATTTGAAGAAACTGAGGGGAGATGGGAAACAAGGTAATTGTCTTGAAGTTTTTGAAGGGATGGAACACGGAAGAAAAATTTAGACTCGTTTTGCTTGTCACCAGAGAGGAGAACTAGGTACAGTGTTTGGAAGCTGCAGAGATAGATTTAGGGTTGATGTCAGGACAAATAGCTAATGAGTAGAACTGTCCAAAAGTGGAACATATTGCCACCAGCAGTGGGGTCCCCATCACCAGCAGAGACTGGATGACCCCAAGTAGAGGCTACTGTAGAAGGACTCCTCACTAGGGTACCTGAGATTAAGATAGCCTTAGGTGTCCCTTCCAGCGTGGAATGTCAATTTCAGATTCACCTCATTCTATGTCTGGGGGGAAGCTGAATGGCCAGAGGGAATAAAATGCTAGACTTGGAGTCTGAAAGCTCTGAGTTCAAGTCCTGCCTCAGATACTTCCTAGTCATGCTCTCAGCCTTAGTGTTATCTGTAAAACAGGTAACAACACCTACCCCTCAGGGTTGTTGTGAGGATTAAATGAAATAATAAATGAAAAAGGCTTTGTAAGCCTTAAAGTGTCACATAAATGTTAGTTATTATTAAACACATGGACTTGGGTCCTGGTACTTAATAACGTTAATTGACTTTTTGCTCAGACCCTTGGGGCCACGGTGGAGTCACAAAGTCCTGTGTCTGGCTGCTCTGGAACTACTTTAGTTTCTAATCCTAAAATCACAGCTGGACCTGGTCCAGTCGCTGGACAGAACTGGGGAAGGCCTAACACTTCTTGAGTATAGGAGCAGAAATGTCCAGAGCTAGTCCATACAAATCACAGAGTGACTCAATGGGACGGGCTCCCATGGGCAATGTGGTTCCCCCTGAATCCAAACCAGAATCCCCTCTAGAGCAGACCAGCCTCAGCTTGAAAAGCCCCTCTAGGGAAGGGCACCAGCCAACACTCTTAATTTTCTTCAACTCAAACTGAAATCTGCTTTTCCTCAATTCCTTCCTAGTTCTGCCTTCAGGGTTCAAGCAGACCAAGTCTAATCCCTTGGCCAAATGACAGCCTTCGGATGCCGGCCTATAGCTCTCAGGTCCTTCAGAAATTTTCTCTTTAATAGATGAACCATCCCCGTTTCTTCCAAATGGGTGTCATATGGCAAGATCTCCAGACTTATCAATGAAACGAGCATTTATTAAGTGCCTCTACGGTGAGCCAGGACCTGGGTCAGGCAGGCAGTCTTCAAGCACGGACTCATCCCTAAGCGTCTGGCTCTAGGCTAAGTGGTGCAGATTACAAACAGTACCTCGGGGAGTTTACTGTCTAAGGAGAACACTAACGGGCTAAGTGCTGAGAATACAAAGATGAAGAAAACCGATTGCGACCACACTGAGCGTACATTCTATTGAGCAAGACTGCTCCATAACTTAAAAACCCTAAGTAAACGTTTACTATCGTTTTGGAGTACGTGTGAAATAAACTAGGAGGTAATTTAGAAGTGGCCAGAAGTAGCAGGTGGGAAGGGGCTGCAGGGCAGGAAAGGTGCCATAAAAGCCGTGCTTTGAAGGACAAGGGGGATTTCAGAGGTGAAGAGGGACCAGCCAGGTCTTGGCTCTGGGACAGTTTCTCATTTCTGAAAGTATGGGCTTCACGATCAGGTCCAGGCACATAACAGGCTATAGGGAAATGCTAGGGAGGAAGCTAGATGGCCAGAGGGAAGGAAGTTAAGCCCCAGCTCTGCATCCTCAGCACCTAGGATAGGGATAGACTTGGGCCAAACCGGTGTTTTCATCCGGATGTCAGTGCAGGTCTGCTAGAGCTGTCTAGACTGCAGCTCATTTGCCCAGGTTACCCAGCCAGTGGATCAAAGCCCAGTTTTCCTCGGCTCCAAGGGTGTCTCACTACCCACCACTCCCAGCTGCCAGCAGCGAGCTCATACAATAGGTGCTTGGTGAGGTCCCTTCCAGCTCCGAAGTCTAGGTCTAGCAGGTTCTAGAACTGTCGCTCGGGAAAATCTCTAAGGGCAGACAGAGCCAGGGACTTCCTGCGAGGTGGAAGGGACCCCAGCACCACAAGAGTGGAGTGCCGGTTGGTGTCTGAGGGGCCCGCTCACCCTGAGGCTCTCGGCTCCCCCTTTGTTCCAGGGCCCCACCCTCACCAGCTAGGGCGGCCTACCTACGCTGAGGTCACCCACCCCGGGAGCCTGGGGGATAGGAAGGAAGGGCTGAAGCCTCTGCACTGTGCGTGCAAACTGCGGGCGCAGGCCAATCGCAGTCGGGAGCGAGGATCCAGGGAACATGTGCCTTTTCAACGTTATAGTAAATTCAGCATTTGGGATCTGAAGCAGAGCTGGAAGCTTGCTCGGTTCATTTGCATGCTAATACCCAGAATGCCTTTCTAGCACCCCGCTTTTCTAATGGAAGTGTTTAGTTCGGAATCGTGCAAAAGTTTTGCAGCCGCGCGCATTTTGGGTCCTGGGGGCCTCCCTGGTTGCAAAGCCGCCGGCCTTGGGGCTGATCGCGGTTCCCAAGGGCAAGGTGGTGGCCACGGGGCTTCTTTCCTAGGCTCAACTGTCAAATTCCAGCTCGGGAGTTTTTCTTGCCACCCGAAAAAAAAGAAAAGAAAGAGGGGGCAAGGGGGGGGTCCCCAGCTGCCCCCCGCCCCCGAGTCCGGCACGAGGGGGCCCTGGCCGCCGCCTCGGCAGCTTCCCCCTGCCCGTGGGGTGCCGCGGCGGGCAGGTTGCTGCGGCTGCCTGGCCAGGGTGGGGGGCTCGAGCTGGGGGGCGCTCCCCCAGCCCTGGGCTCAGGCGTGCAGGGACTCGGGGGCAGGCCTTTCTTCTCTTGATGGTGGCGGGTGGGGGGATCGGTCTTTCTCTGGCCGGGCCGGGCTGGGGTTGGGGGGCTGGGCGGCTGCAGCCCCCTCCCGGCTGAGCCCGCCTGGCTCCGGGGCCGGGGCCGGGCGGTGGGAGCCGAGCTGGCTCGCTGGTTCGCTGGCTCGGCGGCGGCTCGTTTGCATCGGCCCGGGGGGGCCGGGCTGCAGCCCCCCGCCCCCGCGCAGGGGGAGGGAATGGGAGAGGGGAGGGGGGCTGGGGGGGCCGCCTGGCATTGGCGGAGGCGGCCGGGCGGGGGGCAGGAAGCGGCGGCGGGGGGGGCGGCCCGGGGGAGGGGAGGGGGGCCGCGCATCCTCGGCGGCGGCGGCAGCGGGGGCGGGGGGCCGGGGCCGCACAAAGAAAGTGCAAACTTTGCGGGCCCGGCTGCGGGCTGCGGGCGGCGGCGGCGGCCACGTGCGGGCTGCGGGCAGCGGCGGCGGCGTGGCCGGGGCGCGGGGAGGCGGCGGCGGCGCGGGGCTGGGGGGGCCAGGCCGGCGGGCGGGGGGGGTGTTGTTGGTATCGCCCCCTCCTTCTCCTCCCCCCCAGGGGTGAAAGTGCAAAAGGAAGTGCAGCCGCTGCCATCTTTCCTCCGCCGCGGCGGCTCCAAACGCACGGCGAGCCGGAGCCCGGGCCGGAGCCCCAGCGGGACCGGGACTGAGCCGAGGCGGACCAGGCCAGGCTAGGCCGCAGCGCCCCGCGCCCCGCCGCGAACGCCCGCCCGCCCGCACGCACCCGGGCCTCGGCCGCCTACCGGCGCTGCAGCGCCCGCCCGCCCGTCGGCCCCGGCCGCCCACCCTGCCTCGCGGGCCCCCCGGGCCCCGCGGCCTCGGCCGCAGCCCCCACAGGCGCCGGGCCAGCCCGGCCTCCGCGCCGCGCGCTCTCCCGCTCAGCCCGGGCTCCAGCTCCTCCAGCTCCGGCTCCCCGCAGCCGCCTTTTGTTCCCGCCTCCTCCGCCCCCTCCCCTCCACGCCCGCCCCATCTCGCGCTTTGCAGCAGCAGCAGCAGCAGCAGCAGCAGCAGCAGCGGCAGCCGCCGCCGGGCCCCAGCACCAGCCCAGGCAGCGCGCGCCCCCAGCAGCCCGGGAAAAGGAGCGCGCGCTCGCTCACGGCAGCCGCACGCCAGCACCACCTGGCGGCCGGAGGGGGCAGAGCCGAGCCCCGCCGAGGCGAGCGCACAGGGAGGGAGGGCTCGGGCCCCAGGTCCTCCGGGAGCCCAGCTCGCCAGCCCAGAGGCGCAGCCAGACAGCCGGGGCAGTCAGGCGGGCATGTGGGCGGGAGAGGTGGCTGGCCAGCCGTAGACGCGCCCGCCCGCCCGCCGCCCGCACGTGCAGCCGCAGTCCCAGCCGCGGCGGCGGCGGCGGCGCGCCCGCTCCGCCAGCCAGCCTTGCCCCTACCTGCCCGCCCTTGCCCGCACCCGTGCCCACCTGCAGCCATGGAGCGGGTCAGCGAAGCGGCGGCGGCGTCCTGCGGCGGCGGCGGGGCCGGGGGCGCCGGGACTGGGGCTCCGGGCCCATCGGCGGGCTGCTACACGTACCAGGTGAGCCGGCACAGCACGGACATGCTGCACAACCTGAACCAGCAGCGCAAGAACGGCGGCCGCTTCTGCGACGTGCTCCTGCGTGTGGGCGACGAGAGCTTTCCGGCCCACCGGGCCGTGCTGGCCGCCTGCAGCGAGTACTTCGAGTCGGTGTTCAGCGCCCAGCTGGCGGACGGCGGCGCGCCGGGGGGCCCCGAGGCCGGCCCGCAGGACGTGGCGGCGGGCGCGGCGGGGGGCGTGGGGCCCAGCCGCGAGCTGGAGATGCACACCATCAGCTCCAAGGTCTTCGGGGACATCCTGGACTTCGCGTACACGTCGCGCATCGTGGTGCGCCTCGAGAGCTTCCCCGAGCTCATGACCGCCGCCAAGTTCCTGCTCATGAGGTCCGTCATCGAGATCTGCCAGGAGGTCATCAAGCAGTCCAACGTGCAGATCCTGGTGCCCCCGGCCCGCGCCGACATCATGCTCTTCCGCCCCCCGGGGGCCGGCGACCTGGGCTTCCCCTTGGACATGACCAACGGCGCAGGCCTGGGGCCCAGCGGCAACGGCATCGCGGGCAGCATGCCGCCGGAGGACGAGGCGGCGCGGGCCGCGGGAGCCGCCATCGCGGGCCAGGCCTCCCTGCCCGTGCTCCCCGGGGTTGACCGCCTGCCCATGGTGGCCGGCCCGCTGTCCCCGCAGCTGCTGGCTTCCCCGTTCCAGAACGTGGGCGGCAGCGCCCCGCCTCTGACAGGCAAGCGGGGCCGGGGCCGCCCCCGGAAGGCCAACCTGCTGGACTCGATGATGTTCGGCTCCCCCGGGGGGCTTCGAGAAGCCGGGATCCTCCCGTGCGGCCTCTGCGGGAAGGTGTTCACCGACGCCAACCGCCTTCGGCAGCATGAGGCCCAGCACGGGGTCACCAGCCTGCAGCTGGGTTACATAGACATCCCCCCGCAGAGGGTGGGCGAGAACGGGCTGCCCATCCCCGAGGACCCCGACGGGCCCCGCAAGAGGAGCCGCACCAGGAAGCAGGTGGCCTGCGAGATCTGCGGCAAGATCTTCCGAGACGTATACCACCTGAACCGGCACAAGCTCTCCCACTCCGGGGAGAAGCCCTACTCGTGCCCCGTGTGCGGCCTGCGCTTCAAACGGAAAGACAGGATGTCCTATCACGTCCGCTCCCACGACGGCTCCGTGGGCAAGCCGTACATCTGCCAGAGCTGTGGGAAAGGCTTCTCCAGGTAAGCCCGGGCCTGCCCCCTGCCCCTGTTGCGGCTTCTGCCCTCTCTCCCTCCCTTCCTCCCCAGACCGGCAGGCTTCGGAGGGCCGGTGAGCCCCGTCCAGCCCTGAGCCTGGGGGAGGAGGTGAGGCCGGGAGCAAGGCCCCGTCAGGCCTTTCTGGAAGCCCTTTGTGTCTCCAGCCAGGCTTGGGGCCCTTGCAGGGGGGAGGGGCTGGCTCTCGCTTGGGCCGTCCAGCCAGCGGGGGCGGGGGGGTGGGGTTGGGGCGACCCTGGGCTGCGGGAGCAAGTTTGTGCTTGGCGTGTGTGTGCAAGAGTGCAGGGGGCTTGGATTTTCCCTGGCCGGTGGGAGGGGCCCCCATTCTGCACTCTGCTGGGTGCCGGGGCTGTTGTGGGGGACTTGCTCCCACACACCACCCACCCACATATACACATCCCATGTGCAGATACGCACATTATAATGATCACACACAGAACGTGCACGTACCACACATGCGTATGCATATGCGCCCACAACATGTACGTGCCTATACGTACCCCACACACGTATACCCCCCGCCTCTCACACACACTTACATCCGTGTATACATTACGCCCCCTACACGCATACACCCTGCACCCCCCCATACATCCACACGCATGTCCACACCAAACACACACATATTCCCGCCTTCACACACATATACACACATCACAATATCCATATACACACCATACATGTACGCCAAATACACCATACACACACACTCATACGTGCACACCACATGTATGTACGCATGTATACACCCCCCTACATACATGTACACACCCACACACATCCACGTATCCATTACACCACACATATACACTCCCCCATACATACAGACACATATCCACGCTACATGCACGCACGTATACTCCCACCTCCACACGCATATACACACATCACATACACAGACACACCCATTACAGTATTCACGCACATATACAACGCACGTTGTACATGCACACATGTACCTGTCTCACACATACATATACACATACAACTCTACACACATGCACGCATACATGCATACACACAGACACACACCTCTCACACATACATACACGTACACTCCCCGCCACACACAGGCCTGCTCTGATACCCTGCTCTGCTGGCGTTGGGAAGCTGAGACCCCACAAGGCTGAGCTTATTCTTAACCCCCTCAGCCTGCATTCCTGACCTCTGCTGCCCAGCCTGGGCCCCCCCCCCAGTGCTCCCAGGTGCCCGCCCCCCACAGAGGGCTCCTTGGGCCCGCATATCCAGCGCATGCTTTTTTAGCAGTGGGGATGAGGGACCTGAGGTTTGGGTGGAAGTCTGGCTGCTGGTGTTTTCTGCTCGGGGCTGAATGTTTAGCAAATATTTAAGTAGGGTTGAGGGTGGGGAGGGGGCCTCGTTCCTGGAGACAGAGCCGCCGGGGGCTGGGGGGCCTCGGAGAGGGGCCTGTATAGGGGTAGCAGGAAGCTCGGCCGCTGCGCCCGCCGACCTCGAACCAGTCCTACCGGTTGTGAGGCCTCTGCCCACCTGCCTCCCCAGACATCAGGTTTAACAACTCGGCTGTACCATCCACGCTCCTTGGTCTGGTGGGCCATTCTCCAGGGAGCAAATTCCAGCCCACGTTCAGAAGCAGGGGGAGGGGAAGGCCTCAGTTACCAAGCTGCTTTGCTCTGGGACAGTGAAAATGTTTTTCCCCCACCAGGAAAAAATGAGGGCAAGTCAGCCGTGCCTCGTTGGGAAGGCGTCTTCCTTGGCCGGTCCCAGCAGTCTGGGGGCAGAAGGAGGCAGCGTCAGGGAAGCCCACCTTCCCCTTCCCTCCTGGAGAAGATCAGCTTGTGGCCAGGCTCCAGGACCTGGCTGGGCTGTCCTCTAGGGGTTCTGGGAAGTGGGGTGGCGTGGCCCCAGCCTGACTGCCCTCCCCTCCCCCTCTGCCCTCCTTCTTGAGGGCCCCCTTTGAAAGTCTTTGTTTTTCCCTTTCTTTTCAGGCCGGATCATCTGAACGGACACATCAAGCAGGTGCATACGTCCGAAAGGCCTCACAAGTGTCAGGTAGGGGCCACTGCTGGAGAGGCGTGAAGGGTTGGGAATGGAGCGGGAGAGGGGGCCGAGGCTGCTGTCACATTGTCTAGGGTGTCCAACCGTGCAGAAGCCCGGGCCACCAGCCAGGAGCGAGCCGTTATGTGTGTGTGTGTGTGTGTGTGTGTGTGTGTGCCGTGGGTGGGGGGCTGGAGGGCGCAGCCATCCCTCCAGCTGGCAGATGCTTTGCACGCCTCTCTCCTCTCCCTCGTGACCTCTCTCGCTGCCGTGACCTTTGAGTCTCCGCCTCCCCCAGCCCTGACCCAGCTGCTTGGTGCTGAGGCCCAGCCCAGCTCTTCTCCCCGCTGCTTGGTCTCTGTCCCCTGCGTGATGGCCCCCCCTGCCCTGCTCTTGGCTCGCAGCCCACTGTCAGTCGTCCGAGGCATGAGGGATGGCTTGAGAAGATGGGTGTGTGAAGGGCCCCCTGAGTGCCTCAGGTCTGTGCTGCCCAATTGTTCTGACCTCTTTCCCCCGCCACTGCCTGTCATTGCCCCTGTCCGATTTCTGCTGAGTGAATCTCAGTAGTAGAGTGGAGGAAGAGGACAATCAGAGTCTGCATAACCGCCACTTGAGAGCCTCTGGACCTGGGTGATTGACAGTTGACTGTATCATGGCAGAGAGCCCTTCCCATCCAGCCTCCTTAGAGCCCTGGGAATCTCTGTTTGCCTTTTTCAAGAAAATAAGGGGTCTCCCAGCCCTAAGTCTTTCTCTAAAGCGCTTTCAGGTTGATAGGACCCTCTTCCTCTCCACAGCCTTGACAGGTAGGTCACTAGAGTGTTTTTGTCTCCATTTTACAGTTGAAGAAACTGAGGCCAGAGATGGGAGGTGACTTGACTGTGGTTACCTGGTTAGTAAAGGGTCTGAGCTGAGGCTGTGACACAGAGTCCAGAGCTCCTTACCCTCTGTTATTGCAGAGCCAGGCCTGGGAGCTGGCTATAGATGTCATTGTTTGTGAGCCCGTCTTAGTCTGGGGGAAGTTGGGGCTCCTGGGCATCGGCACCTACAGGCAGGTTCAGCTTCTCCAGGAGAACCGACTTCTGCCCTGGTTCCTGAGGGCTCATTTCCTCCCTGGGCACGGGGTCCGAGGAAGAAAAATGAGGGGTCAACGGGCGTCTTCAGAAAGTCCGAAGGAATTGGGGTTTTCTTCAGGTCTAGTGCCCCCTAGTGGGAGGTACGGTCCCTTTTCAGGCCTGCTTGGGCAGGATGAGGACTTTGCAAACTGTGTGTCCTTCAGTTGGACCTTGGGGGGTTGAGCCACAGGAGGCCTCGGGGGCATCAGACCCACCCCCTTCACTTTGGGCTCGTAGGGTCTCTGGTCTAGAGATGGGAGAAAGCTTCAAGGCCCTGCTCCTCACTGCTAGGTAGCCAGTGAGGGAACCGGCCCCCAGGTCACGCGTAGGGCACGGGGAGCTGGGCTCAGGCCTCTCATTCCAAGTGGAGTGTTTCTTGGAAGGGATGTGCTGCCCTGCGAGGTCCTTGTGGCGGGTGCACGCCGCACTCTGTACGCTGAAGGGCAGTCGGTCTCCTGTGAGGCGATGAGATGTGAAGAAAGGTGACCACCAGTGTGGAACCTGCAGACCCCGCTGCCTCCCTCCCCTGCTCGACTCTTGCCCCTGAGCAGACCCCCGCTCGCTAGCGCCTCCCGAGGGGGGCTCGGGGCTCCTGGCCCAAGTAGGACGCACCTCAGAGGGCGATGGGGCACTGCGCCTGGTGGCCAGGAGGTAACCTGCGCTTTCTGCCCTTTTCCAGGTGTGGGGAGGGAGCAGCAGCGGCCTGCCGCCCCTGGAAACTCTGCCTAGCGACCTGGCCTCATGGGACTTTGCCCAGCCTGCTTTGTGGAGGTCGGCCCACCCTGTTCCTGATACCGCCTTTTCCCTTTCTTTAAAAAAATCCTTCCAAGCCCTCGATAATCTGGGCCCAGCACACTCCGGCAGCCATCTCTTCTGCTCTGCTCAGCCTGGGTACTTGAGGCAGGGCTGGACCACCCCAGAGGGCAATCGGGCATTTGCCCAGTGGCCTGTGGGATAACCTGCCCCCCCATTTGGGGCGTTTTTCCTGGGGTGGGGAGAGGGAGCCCCTTGGAAAGTCAGCCCGGCTGCCTGGCTCCCTCAGGAGAGCTCGCCCTGCCTCGGTCCTCCGTCTTTCTCCTCTTCCTGGGTGGGATGGGGTTTTCCCCATCTCAGGGCTTTTTGGTTTGTGGGGAGGCTCCTCACTAGGCCCCCGGGAAGAGATTCCTCCTTTCTGAGGGTCTGGGCCCAGGGCAAGGACTCACACTGTAGGTACTGCCTCTCCCTCCTCCCTGGGACTCGTGGCCAGTTTTGTGGGGACTGATGGTCCTCTCAGCATCAGGCCCTGTGGCTTGACTCCCCGGGCAGTGCTAGCTGCTCTGGAGGTCAGCACTCCCCCAGGACCACCTCCAGGAGGCAGCCAGCCCAGATTCCTGTCTGTGTCTCCCCAAACCAGCTAGCAGTCTCATCCAGCCGTCCGCCCTCCGTCAGGGCAGCACCTGCCCGCTGCCCCCACGGGGTCTCTGGGAGCTTTGCCACCTCCTGGCAGTTCCTGACTCTCCCCCAGTAGAGTGGCCCTGTGGCATCCTTCCCTCAGGTGGTTTCCCCCTTTCATCTCTGGCTTAGAGTTAGACCCTTGGGTTTTTGAGGTTTATTGGGGCAGGAAGTAGATTAGCAGTCTTCAGATTGTGGCCGCCTTGGCTTCGGGAAACTGATACAGCAGACCCAGAAATGTAGGATTCTGTACTCTGCCTGCTGCTTGTGGTGGGCTCCGTGAGGACGGAGTCCGCCCGTGATAAAGTTTTCATTCTAACATCGAAGACTTTGTGTGTTTTGTCTCTGGTCTTGGTGAGCGCATCAGTGGGTTTTGGTCTCGCCACCCCCTTTAACCCGAAGCGCGAGTGCACAGACACACATATGAACACACAGACACACGCACACGCGGTCCCCCCCCCCGGCTCCTCGGCTGGGCTGGGCGGAGGCCCTCGGGGGTCTTCCAAACGCCTGTTTTCTTTCACCCTCCCCTGCTGCGTATGGCTTAGATGTTCCCTCCTGATGTGCCGGGCCTGATCAGGCCTGGGGTTTGACTGAAGCCGTGGGTTGTGGTGTATATGGGAGTCGTTCTGTGTTTTTTTGGCATGGCCGTGTCTCAGAGCAGACATCACCGTGGCTCCGGCATCCACCTCAGGAGGCCCAGGATCTGAGATTGAGAGCTGAGATTGAGGGCCCGGGTGGTCAGATGGGGCGAGAGGCTTGGCTGCCCACAGCTGTGTCCTCTGGTGGTCCTAGGACCATGGGCTTGAGGAGACCCTCAAAACAGCCCTGTAATTGGTCCAGTGGAAAGATTGTTCTGCTTGGATCAGGAAGACCCGAGTTCAGATGCTGCCTCTGACAGTCGCTCTGTTACCTTGGGCAAGTCCCATGCCTAGGCAGGCTCAGGTTCTTTATCTGTGAAATGAGTATGAGAAGACCCCAGGCCCTCCCTCACCTCGTAGGCCCACTGTGAGATAGTGTCTGTAGGAACGGCCAAAGTTGCCAGTTTGCTGAGGAAAGAGCCTGAATCCCAGAACAAGAGAGGGAGAGGAGAGGGGAAGAGAGAGATGAGAGACAGGAGACAGAGAGGAACAGAAGGAGGGGGGACGGGAGAGAGGACGGGAGAGGGGAGGCAGAGACGGGGAAAGGGAGGCAGGCAGTCAGTGGCTCCTGTGCTGGCAGCTGACCTGCAGAGCCAGAGTCCTGCCCCTCCTCCCTTGGGCCTCTGGCCAGGCGGGGGCCATGCCCTGCCTCTGCAGCCCACAGTGCATTTCTGTATGTCCGTGAGCCCGGTTCGATAGGCGTATGCCAGGGCTTTATTTAAAAGCCCTCACTGACGCAGGGCTGTGAAACCGAATCCGGGAGGCTAAGCCTCGGATCTGGCCCTGACCCATCTCATCCATATATTTGCCCTGCCTCTCCACGTGGGCGTGCCTAGACCTCCCGGGCCTGGGGTAGAAGGGCACTGTCCTGCCTTGTGCCTGCTTTGGCTCGGTCGCCTTAGCACCGTTGGTAGCACAGGAGGAGGAGGAGGCCTGCCTCTGTCTTTCTGCCCGGGAGGCTAGGTGGGATCGACTCCCCTCTCCGGGGCTCGGTTTCCTTCTCTGTAAAATCAGGAGGTTGGCCGATGGTTTCCATGGTCCCTTCAGGTCTAACCTGGGGAGAACATTCTTTTCCATGTGGGCGCGTCCATTCCCTTCTCCAGCCCAGGGCAGAGGGGGAGGGGGTCCTGCTTGTCCCAGCTCTGTCTCCTGCAGACTCTGCCGCCATCTTGGAGTCTCAGGGGCCACCTAGACCGGAAAAGACCTGGGCATATTCTCCCAGCCTTGGAGGGCGAGGGTGGATTAGAGAGATGTGGGGGCCTTTGGGAGAGAACCCCAGGTCAAGACTGGCCTCCTGGCCGTCAGAGCTGGCCCCGGGTGGAGTTTGGTGAGCTGTGACTGAGCAAGTCACGTCCCCTTCCTCAGCCTCTTTGTATCCTCATCTGTAAAATGGGGCTAGTGATAGCACCCACCTCCCAGGGCTGTTGTGAGGGCACATTTATGCAGCGCGTTCCACTCTGTAAAGTGCTCTAGAAATGCCCGGGATCCTTTGGAGGGCTCGTGGCTCAGACCAGATGGTCCCTGCCAGCCCTCATGTGCCGTGCTTCTGGATTCTGCACTGGGGGAGGGTCCCCTGCCCCTCCTATGGTCCTGGACGCACCCTGCCCTCTCCTTCTCGGCCTCAGGTCTTGTTCTTTCCTACCCCAGGGACGTGGAAAGTATGGAGCTGGCCCTGGAGCTCTGCTGCCTTGGCCCCTGTAGGAGCGAGCCCCGGCCAGCGCTGCTCCCCTTCGCAGGGTCAGGGCTCTGGATACTTGGAGGGAGACCCCTGGGTGTTACTTGCCTCAGCTTCCCCTTCTAGGTCCCCAGGGCTGGACTCTGAACCTGTGAC